TCCCTTGGGAGGTTTCTCTGGACTTATTTTTCATGGCACCAGGATTTTTCTGCTGATTCTTCCTCATGACGTGTTCTTTTATCTGTTTCCTTACCCTAATTTTCCTTTCACTTCCTCTTTAAGTTGCCATGATTCTGGTTTAGGATTTTGTTGAGTCAGCAGCAGTGGGATTGGACCCAACGAACACACGTGACCCCTTGCCAGTTCTCCACTGCTTTTGTCCTCTTCACGGGGTCCAGAAGTCTCTCACTGACTCCCTGTGTCCCCAAAGGGATATTTCTGGGTGGATCCCACCAGCCAGAGATGCCTGAAGTCTTCTCTACCCATGCCCAGTTACAAGGAAGCTGTTATTCAGCTGCCATCTTGCTCCTCCCCCTGTCTTTTCATTCTCTTAATAGGGTCTTTTGCAGAACAAAAGTTTTCAATTTTGATAAAATTCAGTTGATCAAGTTATCCTTTTTTTTTTTTTCCTTTTTTAAGACAAAGTCTCACTTTGTCACCCTCTGTAGAGTGCCATGGCATCACAGCTCACAGCAACCTCCAGCTCTTGGGCTTAGATGATACTCAACCTCCCAAGTAACTGGGACTACAGGTGCTCACCACAGCACCAAGCTCTTTTTTGTTGCAGTTTGGCTGGGGCCGTGTTCAAACCTCCCACCCTTGGTATATGGGACCAATGCCCTACTCACTGAGCCACAGGTGCCACCCAAGTTATCCTTTTATGGATCCTGTTTATGATGTCTGATGGGGTGTAAGCCAGTACAGAACTAATGCACATAGGTTTTGAGAAAGATTTCTCCAAAGATTAGGATAAGAAGAAGGCGTTTACTTACTTTCTCTTGAGGAGGAGAAAGGACCATCATGGAGGTGGGAAAGGAAGAATCAGCTATTGAGGCTTATTAACATGGGTGGGGGCTGGGGGAACATGTGTAAAATGGCAGGGTACAGTTGAGAAACTGCCATATTCCTTCCCCCCCCCCCTTCTTAGCAGCACGTTGGTAACAAAAAACAAGGTGGGCTGGATGTCAAAGTCCAAGACCTGGTTCCCCCACCTTTCTTTAGAGATGGGGGATTATTGCAAGGGATGGGCAGAGTCTTCCTTCAAGATAGGGCTGAAGCTTGAAGCTCTTTTCCTGTTTACTCAGGAACTCTGTAGAAAAACAGATTCTCTCTGGCTCGGCGCCTATAGCTCA